CCAAATATTTTCATCACTCCAAAATAAAACATTTAACCCCACTGCCTCCCCCTACCTAGCAACCACCAGTCTGTTTTCTCTATCGATTAACTGATTGTAGATATTTTAAATAAATGAACTCTCGTGTGTAAGACTTTTGTATCTGACTTCTTTCATTTAACATTTTTTGAGATTCGCACACATGGTAGCATATATCGGTACTTTGGGCTTTTTAATAGCTGAAGAGTAATCTGTGTAGATAAGTTTACCCACACAGCTGTTGATGGACATTTGCGTTTCCACTGTTTAGTCATTGTTACTGTGCACATTTGGGTACAAGTATTTCAGTCCCTATTTTAATTCTTGAAGTATATACCAGCGAGTAGAGTTGCTTTGTTCTGTGGCAACTCTGCTTAACTTTATGAGGAACTACTGAACTTTCCCTCAGTACACGCACCATTACTCCGGCTGTGGAGGTTCCGATTCCTCCACATTCTCACCCACACTTTTGCCATTGTTTAATTATAGCCATTCTCATGAGTGTGAAGTGAACTCACTGGTTTTTGGGTTGCAGTCTCTTGACAAATGTGGAGCATGTTTCTGTTGGCCGTCTGCATAGCTTTGGGAAAATACCTGTTCAAGTGCTTTGCTCTTTATTTAGTCTTTTAATTATTTTTGACAATGCTGGTGTTTGAATTCAAATACAAATTATATTGTTTTTTTTTTTTTACAACACAGGGTGGATTATAAACTGTTCCCGTTAATATGGATATAAACTTGACCAAGATAGTAACTAGATACAAGTTTATACATACAACTAGTACATCTATCTCCAGGGTAAATGCTGAGAAATAGGAATTATTTCTCAAGTATTGTTTTCTTCATACTTGAAGATTTTTCCTTAAGTGACCTACATTTTTTTGGGGGGGTGGGGGGAGTTGTTTTGTTTGGTTTTATGATGCTGGTGATTTGAGCCCAGAGAGCATGCAGGGCCAGCTCTCTGCCACTGAGCTGCATTCCCCAAACCCCACCCCCTTTTTCTTTTTCTTAATGAAGTGTTTTGCAGTGCTGGGGACTGTAACTAGGCATTTGCAGTGCTAGACAAGTGCTCTGCCACTGACCTTTGTCCCCAAACCCTTAAGCATTTTTTTATGTCAAACTTTACCATCTATGAGATTTTCTTTCTTTTTTTAAGAAAAATTAGAAATAGCAGACCAGTTTTACACAAAGTTATGAATTAAGTAGGCTACCCATTGTAACCTGTTACATTGTTTTCTAATCTGCAGAAACAATTGTTCTCTGCAAAGAAACTAAATTTTTCAACATGCCATCTTTTCTAGTGTTACTAAAATCTTCAACCTTCTCCGGTCATAGAGATAAAAGTGTACTGTGATTTTAGAGAGGAAAGAAACAACTACCAAATCCTCAGATATTAAAACTGAGCTGAGAACTGCCCAGATGTGCTGTTTGTATGAGCACCAATAGAACAGAGCCAGATTCATACTGCAGTGACTCACCTGATTGGCAGAGAACTTGACTATTTCTCTCTCGATGGGGGTTCTAGGGGATAGAAACTTAGGACTGTTTTCTCTAACATTAGAACACATGACTCTTAACAGCTCTTAAGTCAGGCCCTATAGCTAGCTCCACTTACCAATTCTGAGTGCATTATATAGTTCTTTTTTAAAGTGCTCTAAGGTTTTATGTGTTTTGCTAATTTAAGAACTGGTAGAAAATGCTTCCCACAAAGTGCAACAGATAGGGTCTGGGGATGTGGCTCCTGTAGATCACTTGTTTTGCATGCCTGAGGCTCTGGGTTGAAGTCCCAGCACTGCCCCACCTCAAGAAAAGCTTTAAAGAAAAAATAAAAATATAGCAACTAAATGGTATTGATTGTTGGAGGTGTACCTTACATAAATTTTCTGGAAATTTTCTTGAGAGCAAACTTTTTTATTTTAATATCCCTGAGAAAATGCCCAGAGCAAGGAGAAAGGAAGCACAGATAGATACTGGGTGATTCCATAAGGTAACTCAACTGTAAGGCATCTCTTCATGAGGCAGTGTTTATGAACAAGGCACTATGTAAACACTTAAAGTATATAGTCTTCTAGAGCATAAACTGTATTTGCTAAGAGACATTCCAAACAATTATTTGCCCCCAAAGTATCTAGTGTTCAGTTAGCAAGTATTTTGATGAACTAGAATTTTGGTCCTTGTGTAAAAAAATAAATGTTCTGCTAGAAGCTATCTGGAGATGGTAGCAAGACTCCAGGTAGTTCAGTCATGAACTAAAGAAGCTACCTGCGTGCAAGAGGGAGTCCTTAGAAAACAACAGCACTCTTTGTAGTGGGATGCTTAGCCTGATGTTACATAGACATTTTAGCATAACATCTTTGAATTAGTTGGGGGGAAGTTACTGGTGCACAATGAATTACAGTTCAAAGAAACAGCAATGTGAGAGATGAGTCTTACTCTTTTTTAAAAAAGATTCAAAATACATTTCTGTCTTTAACTTGACACAGTAAGCACATTTTAAATATGCACTTATAGGATGAATTAGTACTTTTTAACCTACATAAAAAGTATGTCACAACTTCACTGAGACTGTACTGGACTACGGTATGCTTCTGGTACTTGCTCGTTCCCCTCCTCTGCACACTTCTGAAGCACTCACTCCCCAGTTTCTGGACATGTAGGTGGCTAATGAATCAACTGGTCCCCTCCAGGTGGCTTTCAGCCCAAGGTTGTGCCCCATATATCCAATGACTAGTCCACACCAGAGTATAAAGCCTGGTCCCGTGGCTTCAATATGGCCTAACTACAGGGCCATCCCAGCTGTAAAGAATGAGGTGCGTTCCAGCCGTTTCTACCTCCATCCCAGTCCCGCTTCTCCCACCCCCTCATTGTTCATTGGGGGAGCAGTCCCAAAAACTCTCTACACCCTAACCTCCATGGCTTAGTCTGATTCCCCAGGAAACCAGACCTGAAACATTCAAAACCCAAAGCCCATAAAAGTCACTTGTCAAACAAAAACTATTTCTGATGATTTTTTTTCTTGCGTGTTCTATTTGTGGGGGAAAAGAAAGAAAAAAACTTATAACCTTTTCTAATTCTTAGTTAATATGGTATAAAAATGTAATATGTAACCCAGTAGTAGGGTACTTTACCTGGTGGGGCATCTAGGCGTCTTTACCTCCACTCCACCCCACTAATACCTAGCTCCAAAGTCAGAGATCTTAGTAAAGAAACTGAACTTCAATTGATACATTCATTTCTAGTAACAGCTAAATGGGACTGGGTTTCTATTACAGTGCTGGTGACACTGCTAGCCTTTTATTTTGCTTGAGAGACGGTCGTGTTCATGGGACAGCACTGGCATCTGGTAGATTCAGTAAGCTGTGGACATTTCCTTTCACATGCATTTATCAGAACCGTGTTGAACTCGTGTATCACACAATGCTCGCAGTTTTTGGTTCACCTTTATTAAAGTAAAACGACCATTTTAAATAAATGTAGAGTATAAATTATTAGATACTCTCACATCCAAAATATTCAGTAAAAGGTTTAAAAGGAGGTCTTACTATTTCGTGAAACAAATCTATTTCTAGTACCAAATACCATGTTGAGATATGGTATATAATATTCTTGTGGTCTAAATTTATTTAACCTTTTTCTTAAGCTGTTGCATTGTAAAAAGAAAAGTTCACATACAATGACTTCATTCATAAAATCTGACAAAGATAATCATAAAAGGATAACAACCATTTAACCCAAAGTTCAAAACTCTCTTGCTGGGGACTAGCTTAGTGGTAGAGTGCTTGCCTAGCATGTGCAAAGCCCTAGGTTCGATCCCCAGCACTGCAAAACATAAACGAAACAAAAAGATTAACGCAGTCTAAATGGAATTCATCCTCTTCAGTATTTGGTTATGATATACAACACACTGGGAAAGCAGCCATGGAAGAGGCAGAAACACGTGGGCCTGACCATGAGCTCACATGGGGGGAGCTGGCCTTTTGCAGAGGGATGAAATTTAAAACTTTTTATTGCTACCGTATGCATAAGAAGAAGGTGTGGAAAGCAATATTCAAAACACAGGAGAAGTGGCAAAACCACAGCTTCTGAGATGAAGACAACATTTTCTAGGTGCTTCCAAAATCTAAAATTTTATTTTTACTTATTCCTTTGTTTAGGTACCTAAACCTGAAATGGAGTAAAAAAAACCATGGCATAATGTATGTTGTTCAATGCCTTGTTTTATATTCAGAAAATTATAAAAGTGGGATAAACAGACATCTGAGAATATATTTAAAATAAATTGCATGATTTCACCTCCCGAATTAATACAAGCTCACTAGCTCAAAAACAACTTTATACCACCCCTTCCTTCCTTATATCATAAAAGGGAAGCAGTGCACAAAGTGGTAGAGCACCTGCTTTACAAGTATGAAGCCCTGAGTTTGAACCCCAGTCCCCACCAAAAAAAAAAAAAACAGGGAGCAACACATGATAAAGAAACAACATAGGCCAAAATCTCACTGTCATTTAATGTTAATTGAATTCTAGAGAGTAAAATATTGTCAAAACCACAGCAACGGAACAAAGCACTGCTTTGTTTTAAAACTGCACATGTGGCCAGGTGTAGTGGTGCAGTCCTGTAATCCCAGCTACTTGGGAGTTAAGAGATTGGGAGGATCAAGGTCAATCTGGGCAAAAAGGGAGACCTCAATCTCAACAAACAAGCCAGGCATGGTAGTGCATGTAATCCCAGCTATACCAGAAACATAGGTAAGAGGACTGCAGACTGAGGCTGTCTCCAGGCAAAAAGTGCAAGACCCTATCTGAAAAATAACTAAAGCAAAAGAGGAATGTGGGAGAGGCTAAAGTGATACAATGAGTGCCTGCCTGACAAACGAAAGGTACTGAGTGAAAATTCCAGTACTGCCAAAAAAAGAGATGCCGGTGGCGCACGCCTATAATTCTAGTCACTTGAGAGGCAGAGATCAGGAGAATCACAGTTCAAAGGCCAGACTGGGCAAAAAGTTAGCAAGACCCCCATCTCAAACAATAGCTAAGTGTGGTGGTTCATGCCTATCTTCCCAAGCTATGTGGGACAATAAATAGGACAGTGAGGGTTCACACCAGCCTGGGGCATAAACAGAAGACCCTATTTGAAAAATGAAACATAAAAGGGAACTGGGGGCATGGCTCAAGTGGTAGAGCACCTAACAGGTAAGCACAAGGCCCTGACTTCAAATCCCAGGATTTCCAAAACAAAAACAAAAAACTGCATGCACACAGGCTTTGTCCCTTGAGAAGTTTTGATCAGACAGACTTATGCAGTAAGTCATTTCATTAAATACGGTTAGAATTTCAGTCTAAGACACGGCCAGTGTACAACCACCTATAAGTCCTCTCTCTGGCTTGTCCTCCGTGCTTTGTAGATGTGCACGTCTTTCTCGGGATCATAGTGAACCTTACCCACAGTGAACCGCCTCTCCAGCATGGCTAAGAAGTTGGTGTCACGTTCATAGCGAATTCGGCAAGCTAAAAGAATCACAGAGTGGTCGCTGCAGAGGTGTTCCAGTGTTTGAAGAAGGTCTGTGAATGTTTCTTCTAAATATATGATATCAGCTCCAAGAATCAAGTCAAATTCTCCGGGTGGAAAACTCCCCAAATTCTGTCCCCACGTCAGCTCCTTAACAACAACCTTGGGTTGGATGTGGGGAGGTAAGTTGGCTCGAACATTTGATTTCAGAAATTCTAGTACTACCTGTCGATCCGTGATAGTCACATGAGCACCTACAACATAGGACAAAAAATAAATAGGTAAAAAGTAGTGTGCACATCAGTAAATTCAGAGGGCAGAGAGGACACAGGTTAAACACAGAGCGCGTCTAAATACTCCCCGACACGCAGAACTCCACGCCCTTCACGGACAGCCCACTACATCACCTCCTCCTGCATTGCCTGCTGGGAAGGGCAGACCTCTGATTTGCCTCTTGCTGAAGCTGAAGTCACCAAGTGACACAGCAGACCCGGCCCACCCTTCCTACGTATCTGTCACTACACTCTATCCTCTAGGTCATGATCTTCACGTCACGAGGACTCAGGGAAAACAGAATCCAAAAATGAGAAAATATCAAATGAGGGAAAGGCTGTTCGGTGGGGTTAAAGTTTTAAAAAGAATCACAGAAGCTGCCTCCCAAGTGCTGAGACCACAGGTGTGCAACATCACACCCAGCAAGATTTTTTTTTAAAAAAGAATATTCATGATGTTAGTTCATGATATGAGCTAAGGAAAAAAAACAAAGCAGGAAAGAGAGGCATGAAATGTCAGGAAGGGAAATTAGAGTGAGAGTAGATCAGAGAGACAGCCGAGGCCTCACTGAGGTGACATGGGTAAAGGCCTAAAAGGAGTGAGAAAACGACCAAATGATAGCAGGGGAAAAACCTTCCTGGCAGATGCAAGACCAGGTGCAAAGGATTAGCGGGGCTAAGCATGGAGACAGGCATGACTGGAACAGAGAATGAGGTCAGAGAAATCACAGGGAAGGAGTCTGTGCTGAGATCACAGACATCTGCCTTAGGTCTACTTTGAAATCTATCAGTTCCTTTCCATCCTTTTTCTCCTTTGCAATTTAGGGAAGAAACTCATCTGTCCTGTAGTTTCCCACAGTCTGGGCTTTGCTGATTGCATTTTTGTGCAGTTTAGCGTGCGTCTCTGTCCTCTGTATCTCCTGAGAATTCGTGTGCTTTGAGTAGGATGTTTGAATGGGACTGTTTCACAGGTAATAGTGCCTTCTTCATCAAGACATAATACTATCTGGTCTGGTAGGCTCTATTTTTGTGACTGAGCGATCACACTGCTCAGGACTGAGGATCACAGTGCATCATATTCTTTTTGCATTTGGTAGAAACTTCCCTAACGACAAGTAGTACACATTTCACAGAGGAATTGTCTGAATAGGAAAGGCGACATAAATTTTGCTTCTCCGTTACCCTTCATAAACCAGATTTCAAAATTAAGAGTTTCTCAGCATCCTCCAAAGATACTTAAATAAATTTCATTGTTGTGAACACATGGGTTAACCATTCAGGTTATTGTCATTGATGTTCAAGTTGTCCCATCCTCTGCCTGTGGCCTCTGACACAACCCTAGCTTTCTTGCTCTCTGGTGACAAGATATTCCAGGGTTATCCTGCCAGAGACCTAGAACCAGCTACAGAAGAGGTTTATATTTCTTACCTTGCTAAGGTGGAAGAACTAACAGCACATTTGTACGCAGATGGAAATGATCAGGTAGAAAGGGGAAAGAAGTATCAATGCAGGACCAATGTCCGTGAATAGGAACAGGACAGGAGCTAAGGCACAGGTATGGCACCAGCCTCAGGCAAGACAGAAATTTCAACACCAGCCTAAAGGCAGAGGGTCTGGATGCAGACACAGGCGGGGAGAGGCCATGGCAGGAGGATGCAGAAGTCTTCGGTCTTCTCTGTGGGAAAAGAAGTATCATTAGCTGAGAGACAGAATGGAAAGACCAAGGCTGAAAACCAACAGGAAAAGTCCTGTACCAGAGTATGACAAGTAGATGTGATTGCCCAGTGGTGTCAAGAGCCTCTCTGAGAAACTAGGAATAGAAGGAATGTACCTCAACATTATAAAGGCTACATACAACAAACCGAGAGCCAAAGTCATACTTAATGGGGAAAAACTGAAACCATTTCCCCTAAAGTCAGGGATGAGACAAGGGTGCCCACCCTCCCCACTGCTATTCAACATAGCCTAGAATTCCTAGCCACAGCAATAAGGCAAGAAGAAGAAATAAAAGGAATACAAATAGGTAAATAAGTAGTCAAACTATCCTTATTCGCAGATGACACGATCTTTCACCTTAAAGCCCCAAAAAACTCCACCCAAAAACTCTCTGACACCATAAACAGCTTCAGTAATGTAGCAGGATCCAAAATCAACTTACAAAAATCAGTAGCCATTCTATACACCAACAATAAACAAACTGAGAAAGAATATAGTAAAACAATTCCATTTACAATAGCCTCAAAAGTAGGGGTCAAAATGGTATCTGTTGAAACTGTTCCGGGAATCGAGAGAGGGAGGATAAAAGAGCAGTGGCCAGGGTGAATTCAAGTATGATATATTTGATACACTGCAAGAACTTTTGGAAATGCTCCAATGTACCCCCACCCAGCATAACAATAAAAAAAAAAAAGCACCCCTCTGAGACTCCCAATTGTGAACTGAAAGTGAGACCTGGCGGCAGTGCTCCCTCCAGCCAAACTCAGCTGCAGTAGCCCAGCCCAGGATGGGGAAAGCTGGGTTGTTTTCAGCTTAGTGAACAAGATAAAACTAAAACAGGCCTGCTGTTGATGACACATGCAGATGGTGATAAACTATCCATTAGCTGAGTGTGGTGGCACACATCTGTAATCCCAGCACTTGAAGCAGGAAGATCCTTAGTCCTGAGCCACTTTAGGATACACAGTGAGTTTCAGGCCAACCTGGGCTGCATAACAAGACCCTGTTTCAAAAAAACAAAAGACTGACTGTGAGGTGTGTGCTGGGTAGAGGGGAAGTGACACAATCCTTCGTTTCTAAAAGACTAAAGGAAATGGACCCAAACACACATATACCAGGCTGTCACTCACTTAGGAAGTGGAAAAATATGTATAAATGTGTGCCATCACTTCTAGTTTTACTTTGCAGGCAACACCCTCATTTATTCAAATATTCAAGTACATACTAGGTGCTGCAGATTCAAAGATAAGCAAGGAAGTCCTCAGAGGGACACGTAGACATAATTGTGATGCAGTGTGAGAAGCAAAATAATAGGAACATGGGCCCGCCTAGGAAACCCCTGGTCATGAAAGAAAAATTCCTCAAGAGGAACACAGGTCAAAGGGAGACTCTGGAGAAGGGGGTGGAGAAAGAGCCCTCAAGGCAAAAGGCGCAACAGGGTTGGGCAAGATGAGATTGCAAAGCCTTGCTAACAATCCTGGATCTGTCCTGCAGAAAGGCATTGGGAAGGCCAATGTTCAAACACAGGCCACCCCATGATGTCGCCTTTTAGACAGGATACTCGGACAGCTATTGAGAAAGAGGGTTTGAGAGACAAAGCAGAGACAGAAAAGGTGGGAGGGTGCTGGAGTCATGCAGGAGTCACACGGTGAGGTCCCCAGCCAGGCAGTGGAATAGAAAGGGAGAAAAGGATTTGATAAATGGTTAAAAGACAGAATCAGCAGGACTCAGGGGAGCGGGGGTGGGAGACTCCAGGAGTTGCCCCAGATGACCACTTGGACAGAGAGTAACTCAGCACAGAGGAGGAGGAACGAGAGAACTGGGAAGAGAAGAAGAGTTCGGGTCTTAACAGATGTTCTCTGAGGTGCTGGGAAGTAGCAAGGCACAGAGGTGTGGCTTTCACTTATGCACGTCAAAAGTTCAGCAGAGACTTGCACTTGAATTATAGAAAAGTAAAAGGCAATTTCTTCCCGAGCACTTTATTTTTCAGACAGTGGTCCCCAGGCTGGGCATGAACTCACGGATTCCCCATGCCCAACACAACTTACAGAATCCTACCTTCGAGATGGGAGGTTTTCCTTCTATAAACAGTTCCCAAGTAACATAAAGGTTGGGGAGATTTTTCAACCTAAGAACCAGAGTTTTGAGAGTCAGAACCAGATTCAAATTTTAACCACTCCACTAGCTTTGTGACCTTGGGCAAGCACTTGCGCTCTGTTCACCGTTCATATCACCACTTGAGGACAACTCTGAGTAGGTGGGGTCTACTTACTTACCACGCAGGGGTGCTGTAAGAATGAGACTGAGAATGTTCAGCCGAGATACTTAGCATACATGGAATGTTCTAAGGCTCACGCAACGAGAACGAAAGGCAGAGGACCAGCAAGGGACCATCAATGACTTAGAGGCTGTGGCTCTAGATGAGATGGGAGCCAATTGGGGGATTCTTTTAACCATCACCCCTTCGCACACTCCTTATCAGATTTCAGAAAGCAGCGTAATCAGAAAAAGGAATGCTGAAAAAGAGTAAGTTATCAGAAGAAGGGGCAGAACAGAAGAGGGGCTTTAGCAGGTCCTAGAACATCTGTAGGCAAAATGATGAGTTCAAAATGCTTGGAAATTCCAGACCTTCAACAGCAAAGTGTGTCTGAGAACCAGCAATCCAGCATTATCAACCTAGAAGCTTGTTAACAAATGCAGGGTTTGAACCAGAAACTGCATGGTAACAAGAGCCCTGGGTGGCAGTACTGAGGTGAGGAACACTGTATTTTATACTTTAGAAGCTGGCCTATCCTCTCACTGAGTAGCTTAAATTGTATGAGTCAGAAGTTGTAGAAAGAGGCCAACAGCAAATAATATAAGAAAAACATTAAAATGTGCTAGGCCAATCAGGCCCAGTGGAGCGTACCTGTAATCCCAGCTACTTGGGAGAAGGCCACAAGCTCCAGGCCATCCTAGCCAATGTAGTGAGACCTAGGCCTAAATTAATGTCTGTGTATCAAACAAAAAAATGACAAAGGCTGGGCTGGGGGCATGGCTCAAGTGGTAGAGCACCTACCTAGTAATGTGCAAGGCCCCGAGTTCAAATCTCCGTACTGCCAAGGAAAACAAAACAAAACAAAAAACAACAAAGGTTAAGCCAGGTGTGGTGGTTACACGTCAGGAGGATTATGAGTTCCAGGCCAGCTATGCCTAAGGAGCAAGGCCCTGCCTCAAAAAAAGACATACTTTGATGTCAATTCGTAACTGTGGACCATTAATCTGATTTTTTTTTCAGTACTGGGGTTTGGAACTCAGGGCCTCAAGCTTGGTAGGCAGGCACTTGAGCCCTTTTTACTTCAGTTAGTTTTCTGATAGGGTCTGGCATTTTTGCCTGGTCCAGTCTCAGTCCAAATTCCTCCTACCTTTATCTCCCAAGTAGCTGGGATCACAGACATGCATCACCATACCTGGCTTACTTGGTGATATGGGATCTCTAACTTTTTGCTCAAGCTGGCTTTAAACTGCAATCCCTCCAGTCTCTACCTCTGGAGTAACTGGGATTACATGAGTGAGCCACTCCACCCAAACACAATTTATTTTTATTGACTTATAGTGTAACTAAATGAAACAATCAAAATATAAATTTTAAAATAAAATTATTTAAATATAAATAAATAAAATGGGACAAGGTCTTAATATGTAGTGCTCAGGCTGACATCAAACTCATGATCCTCTTGCTTCAGCCTACCAAGATGATTACAGTTGTGAACCACCACAGCTTGTTAATACAATTTCTTAAAATAAGACGTCGCAACCTTTGAAAGGGCCAATCCTTCCTAGAAGAGAAAAAGCAGTTGTCTCGGCAATAAATGGAAAGACTGCTGCACCACCTACCTCCCAGAGTTAAATCTGACAGTGTGTGGGCTTAAGCTCTTTGAACTGAAGAAACTATCAACACGGATTAGGTTATTCTTCTTGAAATCAAAGTTGCCATAAGATTATATTATTGGCACACAGAATTAAAGGGTGCAAGGCAATCTCCCAGGAGATGCTAAATAACAGGATGAGAGAGAGAGAAGAAATTAGCCTGCAATTTCTCAGGAGTTGAGACGCAAGCAGGTGGCTCGAACTTGTAAGCACAGGGGAAAGAAATTAACCCAGTAAGGGGAGAACTAGTAATGGGTTTCACGCTAAGAAAGCAAATGCACCCCTCCATGAGTCCTGCTCACTAGGGAGCGAGCCAGCGCACCACTCACCCAGCAGGGCAGCCACTATGCCCACCAGCCCCGAGCCGGCTCCCAGCTCCACAGCAGAGCAGCCCCTGAGCTCCACAGCGTCCATCTCCAGATATGTGGCAAGAACGATGGCCTGGGTCAAAACACAGGGTTAAGGTTAACATCAGCAAGTACGAGAGCTGGAGGGTGTCAGGCTGGCTGTGCACTGGCAGGAAGAGATCACGCCCCACCCTCTGCAGGTGCCATTTCCAGCTCACCGACTCACACGGGAACTTAGCTAACCTGCTGCCGCCTGGGAGGACATGCAGACAAGCACGGACACATTGTGCCCCCAGACACCCCTGTGAGGGGCTGGAGCAGCTGCTGAGGAGTCACACAGGCCATCTAGGGGCCTGAATCTGGAAAGCTTACCTTCTTACCGTATCAAAGAACTTTTACACTGAGTGTTTACAAAACTATTCTGGAACAATCTCTGTGACTTTAAAGCAATGTCCAGTTCCTAAACCTAGCTCAGGTCAGCAAGGACAACCTTACCTAGAGGGAAGAAAAGCAGCAAAGTACCCCAGGCTCCCTGAACTGTGTCACTGGCCACCTTAGCCTCACAAGCGCCCTTGCTATATGTCTGAGGTATCAAAAGGTTAAATTTTAGCCAAGGTTTTGGAACTTGATACATGAGTAACATTTGCTCACAATCCTACAAAAAGAACTGCTTCGCATTAATGGAATTTTTACTGTAATCTGGTTTTCACCACTACATACTCGCGTAATTGGCAGTTCCCATTCTTCTTGAGCATTCTTGGTCCTGTTTCTCATAATTTACCTCTATTACTTATTATGGGATTAGTTTTCAAGTAGTTACGTTGAACTGGATTCCTAGAAGTGGTTATTAGTAGGTTAGAATCTACTCATATTTTTATTCCTAAATGTTTCTCTACCTTCCTAATACAATGTCAGGAGTGTAAAGTTGTATTTATGCCAGTCATTTATTCAACATGATTTGGGCCCCACTTTCCCCAATCCTAGGTGTGGATCTAGGGGTTGAGGACCCAAGTCACCACCAGAAGTAGAAAAGCAGCTAGGCCAGGAGACTCAAGCCTGTAATCCCAGCTACCTGGGATGCTGAGACAGGAAGGATCATGGCTCCAGGCCAGTCTAGGCAAAAAAAGTTTAGAAGATCCCCATCTCAACAGAAAAAAGCTAAGCGGGTGAAGTGGGCCTCTCATCCAGCTACAGAGGAAACAAAATAGGAGAATCTCAGTCCAGGTCAGCCTGGGGAAAAGGAGAGATCCCATCTCAAAAATAGCCAGAGAAAAAAATGTCTGGAGGTTTGGCTCAAGCCATAGAGCACCTGCCTAGTAAGTAAGAAGCCTTGAGTTCAAACCCCAGTGCCACCCAAAAATACATAAAAGTAGAAAAGCAATTATAATTCTGCAACCTTTTTAATAACTGTGGGTGGGGGGGAAAGCCATGCTGTTCATTTTGGGTTTTGTCACTTTACATAGTTTAAAAGACTAACTTAGTGGTGTTCAAAGCAGCCAGTGGGCCAGCTTTCTTTTCAGTCTTGTTCCCACTAGGTAATTACTGGTGGGTCATTTTTCTCTGTGCTCTCTATGACCTCTTTTAAAATGCTATGTATGGGGGAGGGGACAAGGAGTGCCTGGTACAGAAAGGAGTTTGGGGTGATGTAAATATTTAAAATTGAGGTGATGAGGGTTGCATATTATTTTTAGTATATTTAAGGAATATACTAAAAAAAATTTTAACAGAATTTGTGTGGTTTTTTTTTTTCATATGTGCATACAAGGCTTGGATCATTTCTCCCCCCTGCCCCCACCCCCTCCCGAATTTGTGTTCTTTAAATAGGTGTAGTACACGGTATGAGAATTATATCTCAATAAAGTGGCTATCTGTCCTTTTTAAATAAAGACCAGTCTTGTAATTAAGTGTGCGTGTTTTCAGTTACTTACCGCATCCCACACCACTGCCGCGACCCCCAGCTGCCTCCAGTCCTGGCAAATCTGGATCGTGTGGTTTGCAAAGGAGAAGGTCGCAAGAGGCTTGTGGAACCTCTGGAGCCCTATCCCCGTGGGCTCTTCATAGGGAACCAGGGCCATTTCGCCTGAGTCCTGCCCTTTGCTGAGACCTGTTGTGCAAAACAATCCTGGGTGAGTACGGCCAGAAGTGCGTATCTTGTATCTTAAGTAACTTCAAACGATTGCTAAGGCTGTTTTCCAAGTTCAAAAAAAAAACAAAAAAACAGGCTGCAAGAAGTCTAACTCCTTCAAAGTGGCTCTTCCTCAAGGTCTACGGGAAGTGACACTGGGCTCTGAATTCGTGTATACAGATGATATCTTAGGGCAGAACCACCCAGAAGCTCCAACTATAGGATGTCCTGCACACGCCGCTGTTTCCACCGCGTGGATTCGGAGCTGCACAACCGCGCGCAAAGCGACGGTGACCGCGCAGGGCCCCAAAGCGCCTGCTCAGCCGCGACTACTGCTGTGGCCAGCTGCCCTAAAGTCGTTGCGTCCAATGGTGACAACAGTGGGGCCGAACCTGCACTGAGGCTAGCTGAGAACGGTTTATCCTGCCTCTTGACCGCAGCCGGATTGACACCGGTACCACTTCCTGGACAATGGACGTCCGAGTCGCCCCGAGGAGAGAGCGGCCGCGGGGCTCGGCAGCCTCCCGGAGGTCCCCAAACCTGTCGGCTTCCTAAAGGGCCGACAGGTGCGCCCTTCCTCCACGCGGGTCCCACCGCTTCGGGAACCCGTCAGGGGCGGGAGTGGGATACGAGAGCGGTCCAGAGTCCTCGGGGCCCGCGCGAGCGCCCGCCGCGCCCCCGAGCACGCGAGCCTCTGGGCGGAGAGCAGAAGGCACGCGCAGGCCGCCCCACGCGCGCTCGAGGGACACGCGCATTCGCGGGCCGCGCGCACCGCGCGTCCCCCGCCCGCGGCCGGCGCAAGAGCAGCGGCCGCAGATGGCGGCGGGAGGCGGGTCCCCGAGACGTGCACTTCCGGTGCTCCCGGCCCACCTCCCTCGCCGGAACCGCGGTCCCCGCGCGCTGAGGGTCGCGGAGGGACGCTTGCGAGGTCCCGGGTCCGTTTCCTGAGGGCGGAGGGAGGGCGCGGGGTGCCACCCGCCTCGCACCGGATGTGCTCTTCTGCTGGTTCTCTGTCGCTTGTGCGTTTTGCCTGATTGTTACAGCCTTTAAAGGTGGCCAGTTAGTGGGTGAAAGTTGGGTCCGAAGAATGCCTGGTCACCCATTCGTCCCTGTGTCATCAAAGTGGGGTCCGAATCGGTGTAATCGCCTGCCTGGTGACAACAGTGGAAAAGTCACAAAGTATTCCCTAAGGATGGACCGGGAGTGGGCACGTGGCGCCTGGTTTGCATTTTTTCACGGACCTAGTGGGTCCAGCGGGTCCAGCTGGCAGTGGGACGCGCGGGGGCCCCAGACCCTGACCTGAGCAGTTGCTGCGGACTCCGACGCCCTCGTGGCCCTCCTCCGGGCACCCATATTTGATGTGTGAGGTGCCGATGGCCCTCAGGCCCTGGAGACCCCAGTTCGCAAGCCCCGGAGAGCCCCCGTAGTGAGCACCAAAGGGGGTGACCGTGGAGGGCCTGCATCCTGCTTTTGGAAGTTTGCCTTCTTTCCCCAACCTTGACCCGTTCCCTCCTACCTCACCAGGACTGCACTCCCGGGGATTCTCAGCCCGCAGCTCTTAGCAGGAGGCGGCCCCCGCTCCGGGTGTTGGCGTGCGCGGGGCGGAGCGTTGACAGGTCCTGGGGCTCCGGGCGCGCACTCTCGGTCGTCCCCTCTCCCCGCCCGCAGGGGGCGCGCCCGCCCCCCAGACGGCCTTCCCGGCGGGCAGAGGGCTGCGGCCAGCGGCTGCCATGGTGACTTAAGGTGAACCTTGTCGACCACCAGTGAGAGTCTTTACCCTCGTTATTTTTTCCTTTTTCTCTCCCTTTTTTGCTTTAGTATCCCCTTTCTCCACTACGTCCTCCAGGGCTCCGTGCTGCTTCTGCCTCAACTTTGCCTGTTTAAAATGTCTTCTTGGGCTATCAAACCCAACTACCGCCAAAATACATGCTAAAAGACATGCTAATTACTCTGATTTGATCCGTGCATCCTGTATGAGTGTGTTAAAATATCCTACTGAACCCCATTAATATGTACAATTTTTTGGTGGTATTGGGTTTTGCACTCAGGGCTTTACACTTTCTAGGCAGGCGCCCTCCCACTTGAGCCGTGCTCCAGCCCATGTACAATTATTACCTGTTAAGCAAAAGAAGAAAAACTCTTTCTTCCCCTTGTTTTCGTCCCCTTTTTTTCTTTCTCCCTATCCCTTTCCCTTGGGCCAGAGTTAGGCACAAGAAAAAGTGTAGCTTTGTGGCCAGAGAAACCTTGAAAGTTTAAATTCTGCCTCTGAGCCTGGGGCGCAGGCTCACACCTGTCATCCTAGCTACTCAAGAGGCAGAGATCAGGGGGAAGCCAGCCCTGGGCAAATAGTTTCGGTGACCTATCTCCGAAAAAAAAAAAAAATCACAAATAAAAAGGACTGGCGCACTGCTCAAGCAGTAAGAGCGCCTGCCTAGCATGTGTGAGGCCCTGAGTTCAAATCCCAGTGCCACTAAATCAATCAACAAATAAATAATAAATTCCGCCTCTGACACTTTAAATGGGATGATCTCTATCTAGTAAGTACTAACTCTCCCTACATCCCAGGAGAGTCTGCACCTTGCTATTCCTTTTTCCTGAGAAGGAATTTTTCTACTGAAATCATATATATACTATATATATATATATCATATATATAATATATTAATCATATATAATTTATATATGATATATATCTATGTGATTTTAAAGCATCTCCAGCACTCTACTAACCTAAGACATTTGCCACATGACACTTACTTAGTTTACCTAAAAAGATGTTCACAGCAAAGTGGATACTCCTTCTGGAGATCTGCCTAGCTCATAAGGACTTCAGTCCTTGCCCTCCACCTGGGCCCCAGAGCCAAATCAGCCCAAGGTGACTCAAAGCCTTATCAAACTGCATTCTAATAACTGAAGTCAGTACTGCATTGACAGCCTTGCTGGGGATATGTAAAAGAGTAGATTCGCTTTTTGCATTTTCTGTGAGTTATCCCAAGTGCATCTTAATCACATGACAATTTATGCAATTGTGTTTTTGCTTTACAGAAAGGTGGTCTGGGCTCCTTTCTTCTGGGCCATTTGAACCACACAGGGAGCATGCGCAGGTGTCTCCCTCCTCCAGGGCATGGAATCCCTGTGCACCTTTAAATTGCTGGACTCCTTCCAACATACTTAGTCCCTGTGGGAAGCAGAATTTGGGGTGGGTAGAATACAAGTATACAAACAGAGGCCTTTGGTTGACAGCAAAGAAGTTTGGGGAGTGGCACAAAAAATGGGGAGTCTTGGGGTGCTGATTACTTTCTACTGAGGACACCTGAGGATCAGGAGATGCTAGCGGGCTTTCTCTGAATTTCCTTCATCTCTTTGGGTCTTTGGACAGATCCTCCAGAAGAGAAAACAGTAGTCACGATCCTCTCTCCCCTGGAAAGCTCTTCAAACAGGGAAGATGGAATCACAGGAGAGCCTGGAAGTCATTCCCTTGCCCAGATGGACTCTGTCTGGTCTTCTGACAGGACCCCCTTGAAACAAACTGCATTACCTGAGAGGCTTTGAGCATAACAAGATAACCTTTATACACCATCCATTTCCTCCTGTCTCCTTCCCACAGCTTCTCGTCACTAACTCCCCCAAGAAGTCCCACACCTCTGTTGCTTTCTGTCACCCAGCTTCCAGGTTCCGGAGTATTCACTTTTCTTTCTATGTTTTCCCCATGTTCATAATAAATTTGTACCCCTTTTCTCCTGTTCTCTACTGTCAGTTTATTTCATACACTCCATTATCAGATCTTTGGAGGGTAAAGGAAAGCTCCCTGCCCAACAGCTTTTTACTTTTAACTGCAAGACTAAAACTCCCCATCATGTGACACCTCACCAAGGAATAATGGTAGAAAGGCACTTATTCTTTTGTCCCTCCTGTTTTCTGAAACTAGTCCATGTTCGAGGTCACAGTAGAAGCAGCCGCCTTGGTACAACTTGATTCTTCTCTCCTCTCCCCACTCTCGCCAAGGTGGATACTCAACCCCGTTCTGGGTAAATAATTCTCTCTGAAGAACAAGAATTGAGAGTGGTTGTTGGAGATCTGTTGTGTTTGCCTACCCAGCATCTATTTTCCTTCTGCTAATGGTCAAGAGCCCAGCTTCTGGAGTCCAAATTCTGGGTCAGCTCCCAACTCTGCAATTTATAAATTCTCCTCAGCTTACAGAGTGGTTACATCCTGGTAAACTCCTCGTAGGCTGGAAATACCATACGCTGAAAATGCATTGAATACTCCTAGCTTGACAAATATCATACCCTAACAACACAGAACACTCCAGAGTATCAGCTGTTTCCTCTCACGGTCACGGGGATGACTGGAAGCTGTGGCTCTCTCTTCTGCCCAGCATCTTGAGGGAGGATCGGACCACATGTATCATTAGCCTGGAAAAGCTCCAAATTCAAAATTCAGAGCACTGTTTTCACTAAATGCGTACAGTTTTGCACCACTGTGAAGCTGAACCATCAAAAGTTGGAGATTATCTATTAGCTATGAGGGCTTGTGTCTCGACTTCTCCATGTGTAAAATACGGGTAATGTGATGATGATACAGGAAGGTGATAACCTGAGGCTAAAACGAGTTATCTGCTTCGAACTGTTCCCAGTGAGCAGTACACTTTGTATAACGCTTGCTGTTGAGGTTATATATTTGGGGTAGTCTAACCTCAGCCCCAGATCCATGACCAGGCACATGTCCCAGACCTGGCCAATGAACACATTCCTCCCATCTGGCCATTTATGGTTTAGAAGTGACATGTGACTAAAACAAAGCTTAACCACAGCCAGCCTGGGGCCGGTTGGGGCTCTCGGAGAACCAGCCTATTGAAGGAGAGAAGCCTGGAGGTCCTGTTGGTCATATGGTCTCAAGAGACTGAACCAGCAAAGGATGTAACCATTGAGGTCCTGGTGATGGGAGAAGCTGCCTCACAGTGCCCTATGACCACCTGGATCAAACTCACATAGAATTTTCCATTATGTGAGCCATTAAATTCCCCAATTAGCTTAAGCCCGAGTTGCTTCTCTCTCTCTCTCTCTCTCTCTCTCTCTCTCTCTCTCTCTCTCTCTCTCTCTTATTCTCTCTCTCTCTTTCTCTCTCTTATTCTCCTCTTCCCTCCCTCCCTCCCTTTCTTTCTCCCTCTCTCCCTCCCTCTGTAGAAGAAAAACAATCCTAATACATTCAGTCTGACTGGCTGGTCCCTTGAACAAAGAAGTTATAAAGTCACACCAGTGTGAGGCTGTCATCAGAGTGCTGTATAAATGGAGAAGCCAGTCTGCAGAGAGCAGATGCCTACAGAAGCTTGGGGCAAGTTTCCCAATGACTTTCTTTTCTTGAGCCTTTCCGGGATACACCTGGATTCTTGGGCTCCATGGGATACCAGGGTAATCTGATAATTTTCCCTTTCTTCCTTAAGCTGGCTTGAGTACATGACATACAACCAGACTCCTAATGGACTGATTTTTGTTTGTTTTTCAGGAATAATGTAGACAAAATATAAACACGATTTGGTGATGCTAACTGGCCATGATATTCACCCTCACAACCTGATCTTAACAATGAGCTGTGTTGCAAAGACATTCAGCTCCTCACTATGCTCACCAGGAGCAAATGACTGGACTTGGCACCTGCTATTCTTTAATCCTATGTCTTTGGGTGAGACGCTAAAACTCCTTGAGCTTTGGTTTCTTGGTCTGAAGAGTGGGGCTGGTAATAAAACCCACCTCACAGCATGTATAAAGGCTTGTCAAGCACTGTGTCACATGCGGTTGGTAACCTAGTCCAGCACAAGAATTAAGGAAACAAGTTTGGAGTTGAAAAACTGGACTTAACGCCTGCCTGTATTCTCTCATCTGCAGACTGGGGATAGTACTAGAGCCCACTGACTTACTGTGAAGAGGAAGGTAGTGAACACGTACTCAGAGCCTAAGATAGTGGTCAGTGTGCCCTAAGCATTTACTACATTTTAGCTTTTGCTTATTTCTCACTCTTGCCTATTGCACCAGCTTTTTCCCAGTAATCAGGATTTGTAACCTGAGAGTCGAGTCGCACTAAACCCCTTTATCTGCTTTAGTGCCCGTATTTTTCTTTTGTTTAATTTCTTCTCATGTAATTAATCCCAGGTGACTGTGGTGACCAAAGTGCCTCTGCCTTCAATGGTAATCTTCAAAGGACTGTCTCTGGGGGTGCTGGGGAGAGAACCCCAAGGAAGAAGCCCATGGTTTCTTCTACTCTACCTTCACCATGACATCCTCTGCAGTGGGTTATAGTCTGTCTTGGATTGGAGACCCTGTGGAGGGTTTGTGTTGCTTGCCATTGTTTGGCTTATTTGTCTGAATTTTAGAATACAGCATGCATAGTAGTCTTCTTGTTTCTCCCTCAACCCTTCTTTTCTTCCCTGAAGCCAAACTCGATATTTCTAGACTGGCTGCCAAGTTCCTGCCCAGGTACCAACATCAGCAGGCAGGAGGTCGCCACAGAGGTGGCTGAGGGGTGCATCCCGAGCTGGGCAGGACACCCCTGGACTCCTGTTGCCCACGATTGGTCAGTATTCTGCCTTAGCAGATCACCACTTTGCTGCTCTCTCCTCCGCAAACCCACTGCCCTCACCCCGCCTGCACACTATCTTCACAGCTATGCATTTTAGAGGGTCCCCTTTGCC